CTGAGTTCCTGTCCTGACTTTCTTCAGTGATGAACAGTGTGATGTGGAAGTGTAAGCCAGATAAACTTTTTCCTTCGGAAGTTGCTTTGGTCATGGTGTTTTATCATAGCTGTAGTAACAGTAACTAAGACAGAGGCTATGACTGTGGAAGGCTCAAGAGAGTCATGCAGTCTCCCTGGGCTCAGACACGCAGAATCTGTTGGAAGACTCTTGATGGGGCAGGACAAATAAGAGAAAATGTCTCAAACTTTTCAAGGCACGTGTTGAGTAAGAGGTAGACGCCAGCCATATCCAGGTAAAGAGGCCCGAGAAATATCTCTGCTAATGAATAAAGGATGTTCCAGACTGGAAATGAAAATGTGACAGGCCACATAAACATCTCAAGTCCAAGTTTGGCTGAAGGAGGATTCACACCCTCTGCCCCAACCATCCAAAGCCAGTGGAGCTGAAACCAGAAGTAACAGCAAATCCTTAGTAGAGGAGGCAAACAGTACAACTCCTCACGGGCAGAGCAAATGGGAAGATTATCAGAGACTACAATAATTATAAGAAATATACTGACGTTCCCCTTTTCATGTTTGTTTTCCTTAAAGAAGCCAATTCCTAACTTCCATTGGAAAGCCTAATTGATAATACCCACAAAACAGTCCACAGTCTCTCTCTCTCTCTCTCTCTCTCTCTCTCTCTCTCTCTCTCTCTCTCTCCCCACCTCCTTCCCTCAGTCCTTCCCTCTCCCCCTCTCTTTCCCCATTTCTCCCTCTCCCTTTCCGTTTCCCTCCTCCCCCTTTTCCCTCCCTTCCCCCCATCTCTCCCCTCTCCATCTCTCCATATTTCTCATTATCCCTGGCTTTATTTCTCCCTCTCTCCAGCTTCAACAGTTGGGTGAACTTCCTGTAACCTCCAGACATACCTCCTGAATGTCTCCCATGATCAAGTCCCAGAAATGTTGGGATGTCTATGGGAGACATATAGGAAGTATTCTATATTGGCAAAGTAGATGCTAATTTTCTATGTATTATTTTATTATTTTTAAATATTTATCAACTTGTTTGGGTTAGTTCCACAATACACCTGGGACAACCTACTGACTAGTGAACTCAGTAAAATTCCCAATGTGCTTAAACCTTGTTCTGATATTTTGGGCAGTGTTTCCTAAGTTTTTTTTTGATATGCAAAACATATCTGTGCCCCACTCCCTTGGGCTCTTTAGAGTCCTAGAGGAGGTTGTTCTAAGGGGTGACTAGCCACACTGGGCAGCCAGGAGATGAGTGCAGGGAGTAGAGCACTCTAGCAGACATACATGCTTAACATCACAATCATTTGGAAACTGTTAAAAGGGAAGTATGCATGTCAACTGAGTGAGGCGAGAATCATTGAACTCTGAACTCTTCTGATCGCTTCGAGGTTTGCTTCCCATCATAATGTCTGAATTCCAATATGAAATCTTTCCCTGCATGTGGTACTAAGGCAATGATAAATGGGAGATTTTGCAGTAAAAATTTCATAATGAGATGTTTATGTTTGTTTATTCCCTCACAGCCTTCTTCAGTTCCTATCTTTTAATCAAGTTGCCTGGTTCAGCAACTAAACGTAGTCAGTTACATTTGAAGTTCCGGTGGAAAACAAATAATCAAAATCCAAAGCACACAGTTTATAGCACTAGTGTGGCCAATGAATTATTTGGGACAGACTTCAACAAGTCAAACAATCAAATAAAAGTTGTAAATCTAAGAGTCAAATGTAGCTAAGGCTCCTTCATTTTATCTGGTAAACCTGTCCTGAAGGAACAGTCTCTCCTTTTTCAAGATTTTCACTTCCATAGCATGCTGTGTGCACATGCCCATGCATGTATAGAACACACACATACACACACACACACACACACACACACACACACACACACACACACACACACGCACGCACGCACACACATATCCCACATGGCTCTAGTGCATTAAATTCACTCTTCATGTTTAATGAATTCATTGATTAGTTAAAAATGAAAATAATCAGTGAAAAAAAAAGACACAAAGACCCCAATAAGCAAAGAAGAGCTACCAAAGGAAGACAGCACCACTTCTTAATCACTCCTGAATATACTTCTGGAAACAGTATTGAGTCCTTACTGCAACCTGATGAGTTTGAGCCTAGAGCCTAGAGCATTAGACCTTTCCATGTTAGTAGTGGCCACCCAGGCAGTGGGGCATGAAGGCATGCAGGCCTGGATCCATGACAATTGGACCACGTTACCTACTGCTAATAGTTTTCTTCCTGGGAGCCACCCTGTTCCACAGCTGCAGGTAAGGACTCTCAGAACAAACTCCAGCTTCCCTCTCATTCCAGCAGAAAGGAAATGAGAGGAGAGCTCTGCCACCTCCCCACGGGCTGGGATAACATGGACTATGAGACTTACTTCAGCAGATAAAAGAGGCTCAGCAGCGAAGCAGGAGTCGAGCTTGCTGTAGTTGCTCTGGAATGGGGAGGTCTTGGTACTTTCTGTTTTCTGTCTTCACCATCACTAAGATGGAAAAATCCTGGTGACCAAAGTGACCCCAGTTTCTATCTGCTCCTATTTAAAAGCAGATCATTATGAAAGCCCAGAATGATCTGCTTGCCAAAAGTCATTGTCAAGTTCAAGATGAAAACCCACTATGATTCATTCCCTATCCCTTCCTCTCTACAAGAAAGAAAAACAGCAGAAAATACAAATGACTGGAGTTATTAGTCACAAATCCTGGGCTGTGAGGAAGAGTGTGGGAAATGATACAATGGGTCTGTTGTCTTTTTATTTCTATGAAACTGCCTGTTCCTTCAATGCCCTTTGACACGTTGGCTGTGGCACCTGGTCTGAATGCAGTGCTGGACAGCACTTTCCTGAGGAAGGCAAGCAACTTGTCTTCATTTGGTTACCATGGTTATGGTACTGCCTGTTACCAATCCAGTGATTTGCATTGCAAACCATCATTGGAAACAAGGACAGTGGGACTTGGTATTCAGGTCTGAGAGATTCAATACACAGAAACATCAACTGGAAAGTTCCAACGGAATTAAGTATAAACACACACACTGCTCCAGTTCTGGAAGAGTGACCTAACTAAGAGGCCATCCCAAGGGCTCCTACTGTCCATAGCACTTCAGTGTGTGTGTGATGCACTTAAGAAAGTTGAGGCGTTAACTGTCTAAAGGAAGAGATAAAGAAGTAAATCCAAAATAGTAATATAGTCGCTTAGAGTGTGAGGACACTGCCCAATTGGAAGTCTGCATGAAGCAGCCTGGGAATTCCATTTTCTAATGTTTGTCCTAAAAAGGAACAGGAGTCAGACAGGATGTGGCAGGAAGGGGTAAGATCTAAAATCAGATTCTCTCCAGTTCCTAGGAGCCCAGGGAAAGGTGCGAGAAACAGCAAGCCTGGCAGTAATGCCACACATTGAGAATTTTGGTTCAGTAGTCCCCAAACCATAGTGTGCACAGAAAGTCCTAATTCTTTGTAGCCTGGAGTGGGATTAACAGCATGAATTGGCCAGGTCTGTAAATCTACTCTAGCTAGCCCCATGACATTTCAAAACCCTTGTTTCTAGCTGTGTGCTTCTTCTCCTGGAGGGGTTCTCACCTGTGTCTTGACATTGTTCTTTTATGTCCACACCCTTGCCTCACAGGACACAGTTACATAATATCATGATTGAGCTGGGGAGCTGTGCTACTGGTCCCACTGCCACCTGGGAAAACCCTTCTGCTGAGGTCATTGGGATGGTGATGAGGGCTGAGCAGTGGTTAGTGCTCAAGACAGATCCTGGGCTGGGAGAAAAATTCACTTCCCTGTCACCTTCATCAGATGAAATTCTTTACAAAGATAAATTAAAGTGATGAGTGATTCTTCTTTTTCACAGAATGAGATCAAAAGAGCTTCAGAATAACCTGTTCCCATTTCAGTGGAAAATACAGCCACGAGATGACAGTTACTGCTGTCATTTATTGGTCACTTGTGCCAAGACCCACACTGGAAGCTTATGTCATTATCTTATTTGATTGGTGAAAGTTACTACTGCATAATTTTATAGATGAAGAAACTGAGGGTCCCATATGTTAAACAGTTTATCCCCAGTCACTCTGTGAGCTGTGGCCAAGCATACCTGACCCAAATCTGTTCTTTCTATTGATATAATAAAGACTGACCAAAAGTAGCTTGGGAAGGAAGAGTTTATTGGCTTACACTTCTGTACCATTGTCCATCATTGAGGGACATCAGACAGGAACTCAAGATAAGAACCTGGAGGCAGGAACTGAAGCAGAAACCATGGAGTAATGCAACCTACTGGCTCTCTCCCTTTGGCTTGCTCACATTGTTTTCTTGTAGCACCCAGGATTTACCTGCCATGGGTTGGTACTGCCCACAGTGGGCTGGACCCTTCTACATCAATCATTAATCAAGAAAAAGCCCCCTTTGATATTCCCACAGGCCAATCTGATGGGGGCAATCCCTCAATTGAGGTTCCCTCATCCTAGGGACTCTATTTTGTGTCATGTTGATAAAAACTAACCACATAAGCATAGTCTATTGAACTCCCAAATGCATAGTCAGAATCCAAATCTAGAGTGTGACAATAGCTGTAATACATGAAAATCTATTGCTCAATAAATATGAGGATATTTCCATTTTCCAAAAAATTTAAACAGGAATGACATCTAGGTAGGTCCTGGAGTTTTACATAAATCAATAGGGTTGGAGGAATGTGTTCCTTCCCTCCTTTTTCATGCAAATAGATGAAAACTTAAAATGATTTTAACAGTCCCAGTGAGCCAGAAAGTTACTTGAAAACACAATCTCCATGGACAATACAATTAAACAATGATTGGAACTGATTTATTGGTTAGCAAGCCACAAAAATAAAAGGAAGGCAATTTCTTTCTAACTAATCTTTAGAAGATAATATGGTAAATCTAGCTGCTAAGTGCCCATCATGAGACTGACTGGTCCCAAATAGCTCTGTGTTCCAGTAGATGGACTTGAAGATGATGTTTCATTTTAAGAAGACGTTTAACAATGCTGTATATTGTTCTCCTTAGATTGTGATTTGGCACTTCACGCCTGCTCAGTAAATATTTTGTATTTATTCTCATCACAATAAGCTTTATAGTCAATTTAATTTTTTATAGTAAATCAAATGCTGCCTCCAGAAGAAGAGGGGAATAACTTCTTCATTCTTCATTTGACAATCCCAGAGCACTTACTACCTTGTGCCTGCTGTTATACCATTGAGCCTCAACTGGAACTGGTTTTCCCTCAAGAGGATTTTTGCCAGTGGCTGGAGAGCATTTTATTGTCACAATTGGAAGAATGATATTATCAGTGTCTAGAGGACAGAGGCAATGTACAGCAGAATGGTCCACGTAGACCTTCTGCACTGAACATCAAACACTCTGGGTTGAGCATCACTGAAGACAAGGCATGAGACAGACCTTGAGTGGCAGTCTAGACAAAACAAGACACAGGCATCTCAGGACTTATAGCCACAGAGTTTAGCTTCAGTTCAGGCTCTGTCTAGCTGTGAGAGCTTAAGCAGGTCATAGTGTGAGCTTCAAACTCACTACTGAGCAGATATGCTTTTATTGATGTCCCCAACATAAAATCATTTTAAGGATCAAAGCAATAACACATGAAGAATTGCTTCTAAGCTTGATGTAATCATTTTATGTAGTGTTAGACATATGATGATGCTTCTAAGCTTGGTACAATCATTTTATGTAGTGTTAGACATATGATGATCATGGCAATAGTGATTATGCAATGAATATGGATGCATAGTTATAGAGTTTGTTGAAGAATCTGGCTTTTAAATCTAAACCTGAATATTATTCACTTTTATTTCATCTCTATATGGTTTATCAAGTAGCAACTCTGGGCTAGCACTCTTAAAGGAGCTATGGGTATGAAAAATAATAGATACTTCCTGCATTAAGGCTCTTCTTGAAGAATGGAGATAAAGTCATAAACAAATAGTTATAATAGTATGTAAAAGAAGCTAACAGGATATAGGCATAAAATTTTTTCAAAGCAAGTTGATTCAAGACATAAACAAAATTTATAGGCTGCATTATAACTAGCAACAAAAATTATTTCCTTTCTACCTTGCTATATTGATCCCCAAAGGGAAAAATACACATCCTTGTGACTTCAATTAAACACTCAGCAAAACAGATGAAAGGCAGTAAGAAAACTGAAATTGCTTTTTAACAATGGATTTGTTAAATCTTGCCTTATAGTTAAAGAACAAAACAAACAACATTCTAACCTTCAGCCCTGGAATGGAAACACTAGCCACAACTGAAAGTATGTTCATGTTCAGGTATTGTTTGTCACTGTAAATAAGGCATAAAATATCTCTGAGTGTAAATGAGTGTTTCAGGGAATGTTTTCTAGAACACTTCAGGTGCCTGGACAACATACTCATTTACTTTACTTGGCTCATAGAAAAGAGTTGCTCAATGAAAGTATGATAGATGGGATTAGATTGACTTCACCTGGTTCTATAGGAAGTGGGTACTAATTCCGCCCTCTTTACGATCAAACCCTCATGTCTGGTTGAAAAGCCCACTACCAAAAGTCCAGGGACATATCACATGGACAGAATGAGTATCTATAACTTCTAACACTTGGTCTTTGGTATGCAGCAGTATCAGGGTCATTGAATATCTGCTTCCATACTGGCATACTTCCTGCCCTGGTGTACTTCCTGCACTGGTGTACTTCCTGTACTACCTTTTGTCTTACTTCTTCCATGAATTCCCTGAGCTAGAGTATATTCAGCATGACTAATTATGTGGATCTTTGGCATTTTGATCCAAAGGGCTCTTCTGTGGTTCCAGAAGGACCAACAGCCTTACAACTAACACCTATGCCAACAAACCCCACATAATTAGTAGGCCAAACAAGACATGGTATGTTATCATCCCAGTATTTGGGAGGCTGAGGCAGAAGAATCTCAAATTTGAGGTTAGCCTAAGATACATATCCTGCCTATGATAGCTAAACTTGATTGTCAACTTGATGCACCTTGGAAGAAGAAACTTTAATTAAGGAATTGCCTCCATCAGACTGGCATATGGGGATGTCTATGGGGGTATTTTCTTGACTACTAATTGATCTAGGAGGTATCAACTCACTGGGTTCAGCACCATCCCTAGGTGGTAGGATTGGGATATACATTTGTGCACACACACAAGCTGATTAGATAGAGAGACGACTCAGTGGTTAAGAGTACATGCTGCTCTTGTAGAGGACCCAGGACTAGTTACCAGCATCCGCATGACAGCTTACAACTGTCTGTAACTCCAGTTACAGTGGATCCAGGACCTTTTTCTGATCTCTACAGGCACCAAGAATGCATGTGGTGCATTTACATACATGCAAGCAAAACATCATACACATAAAATAAAAAAAAAATAAGTTTTTAAAACAAAGTAAATCAAGCAAGCTAGAGGAAACAAACCAGTAAGCCACATTCCCCCAAGGAAGGTCTCTGCTTCAGTTCCAGACACTGAGTTCTTGCCCTGACTTCCTTCAGGTGTGGATTGTGACCTTCAGGTATGGATTTGCAAAATGAAATTAACCCTTTTTTCCCCAAGTTGCCTTTGGTCATGGTCTTTATCAGAGCAACAACAAAACTAGAATGTTATCCAAAAATAAATCATAAACACCTAAGTAAACAAATAAGGTTTCTTAAATCCTAATGAAGAATAGCTTGCAAGTGGATTTTCCAGATTAACCCTAAATGTGAACCTGGCCCAAAG